TGGGATGGAAGTCGTAGGAATTTCTTGACGCTAAAATTTAGTGGTTTGGCAAAGGTGCAACAGCTGTTGTGGACTTTCCGGCGCTTGAAAGGGGTATGACTAGCATGAATTAAAACTACTAAATTGCATAAAGTACCCTGCCGGTAATCATAGACCCTTTAAGCATACAGACTACCCTTCTGAAAAATTTTATTGTAGCCGCGTGTTCAAGTTTTTGCTTCAGAAAATCCTATAACTCTCCCAGAAGCGATTTGCAAAAAACAAAGCAGATTTGAAATCAGCGTTCCATGTCTGCAATACAGTCTACAACTTATATGGAAATGCCACTTCTGCCAAGTATCGACCCCTTGTAAGACAAACGGTACTATCATGATAATGCAATGAACACAATGTCGTCAGTATGAGTAGTTGGTAAACAGCAAATATCTACCCTATTCAGGTGTATAAGCCACACATTGCTTTTCGCACATTGCTCTCACTTAACGCGCCCCATTGTAACAAGCAGTCTTTTGGAGTGTTCGCTTTTAGAGCGAACAGGGTGTGGCTTATACACCTGAAAATAGGGTACTTGTTAGTTTTCTATGATGCTCGCTTAACAATTGCCAGGATCTCCAACCTATGATGCACCCATCCTTATTTTAGCTATTTCTCGAAAATTTTCGCAAGTGAATGCATTTTTATTTTCAAAATGTTTGGCATGATTTTTTTGATGTTACCAGAATCCATATTTTATTATCTCAAATGTTAATGTTCAATCATAACCGATTGAAACTTTTAAGTTCTGAAGGCGTTTGGAGTTTGAGATTTGTATTTTACGACTTTTCAAAAAACGAAGACTTTTGCAAAAAAGTTCTAAAAACAATTGCAGGCCACTCAAAGTTCTCCAAAAAATTTACTGTCTTGCAATCTGTCAGCTTCAACAGTAACTAAAGCTCTTCTGATAATTGGAAATGTAAATTAAAAAAGATGACTAAGAAAACAGTGGGTAAAAATCATGAGTTGCAGATTGACGATTATTTGAGCGATTGTCGAAAATCCCGCTACAATAACGTCACCGCTAGAAAAAGGAAGATTTACTGCCGAACCATGTTTAACGTTTCTCTTTCATTACTCTAAACAATTTGATAGGACGCAAAAACGGCAGGAACTTTCGGATCGACCTGATATATTGAATGCAAGAGAATATGCCGGGATTTAGAGATTCAGAAATTGGCATGGCAAGCAGCATCAAGCATTAGCCAGATATGACTCATGAGAATGCTTTTTCTTCATACCTTTACTCTTACTGACATATCAAACAACTGTGACCCTTCCTTTTTTGTAAGTAAAATGTTGGGCATAAAAATATATATTTATTAATAAATGCCTGTAAAGATGGATATTTCCCAAAAAGAGGAGAACATTTTGTAAGCAGTAAAGTGGTTTAAGTCGGAGAATTGTTACCCTACTTAGATACTTAGATGGCCCGTCCTCACGTGACGTGCGGGCCACAGTACAGAAGTTGCCGTTTTTCCCTGTCCCTCGCTTCAGACATCCACGATCCCTGGCCGTCGTCGGTGGCTGCGTCCACGAGTTCCAGGTGCGAAAATCGTATCCGGCTAATTTCTCAGCTGGTCCATCCGTTCCACGACACACGTGGCTTCGCGAGGAATCCACTCCAATGTTCTTAGTGTCCATCTGTCGTCTGTTCTTCTCATTATGTGACCGGCCCATCGGTGTTTGGCTTTCGCAACGTATTCCGCTGGGTCACGAAGACGGGACATTCTTCTCATATCCGTGCTGCGAAGTCCGACTAGATGTTGTTTGCGTCGGGTCATCTTCAGAAGACTGCGCTTGAGCGCTCTGTGGGTGGTCCGTAAGCCTTTCGACGTGGCTACAGTGTCGGCCCAAGTCTCAGCTGCGTAACAGAGCGCTGGGAGAAAGGTTGGGCACGAAGCTCCGGGTCAGTCAGTTGGTCGGTGGCTTCCTTCAGAGGCCCGAAGGCGGCCCAGGCTGTTCTTCTTCTCCTGTTAAGCTCTTCCCTCAAGTCGTTCTCCATGTTCATCGAACAATTGAGATACACGTAAGAAGACGTCTCCATAATAGGGGTGCCTTTCAATTCCATTTCTGCATCTTCGCAAAGGGCGTTCCTCATGACTGAGTCTTCTTCCGATTTATTCGCAGTCCGATCTTCTTCCCTACTTCGTTCAGTTCCTTCAGCATCGTCTCTGCTTCGGTGATACTGCTCGAGAATAGAACGATGTCGTCCGCAAAACGAAGGTTGGACAGGAATCTCCCATCAACTCGTATGCCTCTCTCGTCCCAGTCCAGTGACTTCAACCCACTGCAAGGCCGCGGTGAACAGCTTCGGCGAAATAGTGTCGCCTTGTCGGACCCCTTTCCCGATCGGAATGGTCAGGGGGCGATGGAACAGCTGCATCGTCGTTGTACAGTCCTTGTAGCAGTCGGCTAACGTCCTCACGTAAGCTGGGTCCATTCCTTGATCGACTAGCGCAGACAGAATGGCGTTGGTTTCGACGCTGTCGAAGGCTTTCTCGTAGTCGACAAAGGTTAGGACGAGAGGCAGTCGGTACTCCCAGCAGACTTCTATGACCCTCAAAACCGTCTGGAAGTGATCTATGTAGCTAGATCTTCTGCGAAATCCAGCTTATTTTTGGGGTTGGGCTTCGTCTAGTGTCCTAGATATGCGAGCGAGGATAATTGTTGTGAAAAGCTTGTACAGCACTCAGCAGGCATATTGGACGATAGTTCCGAAGATCCTCCCGTTCACCCTTTTTGAAGAGAAGGACGGTTCTTGACGTTCTCCAGTAATCGGGAATCCTCTCCTTCTGAAGGTAAGATGTCAAATGCAACGCTAGAACCTCGTGTAGACGGTGTCCTCCGGCTCGCAGAAGTTCGACGGAAAGATGATCTGGTCCTGGAGCCGTAGACTCTTCATGGTCTGTATCGCGATACGTACTTCAGCAGGTAGAATTCGTGGTGATACTTCTCCAGTGGGAACAACAGGCATCTGCACGGGTGTTGATGAGAGGAAGAGGTTGGTGTAAAAGTTCTTCGCGAGAGATTCCATCTTGTATCGGGAAGAAGTCGGAGTCCCGTCTTCGTTCAGTAGTGCAGCCAGCGGTACGTGATATTCGCAGAGGTCCCTTCGGCACTTCTTGAGACTTCGTCTTCTTTCGGCTGCTTCCAGTATCTTGGCTTGCCTGTACTTCCTGAGATCCTCCTGCAAAGCTGTTCTGCAACTGGCTATCAGTCGTTCGAGATGGGTTGCATTCGGATCTTGCCTCAGAAATCTTCTTCTTTCAAGCAATTCCTTGGTGGTCTTCGAAATACGTTCCAAGTTCTTCTAAGAAGTCACTGAGGAGCACTTTCCGCAGGCTTGCAATCCTTTCAGAAGCCGGTCGTAGTCGTACGTTAGGTCCTCCTCGATGGACCAGTCACATCTTGATATGAGCTCTTCCAGCCTGTTACGTCATAAACGAGTTCCTTCCTTCTCGCGGCACTGTGACAGACTTTCTTTTCTAGCCTTCGGCTGAGTCGTATCTTCCTCGAAGGAGGCGGTGATCGGAGCCACTGCAGAAGGATGGAACCACAGAGACATCGAGTAAGCCCCACCTTTGGTTGGTGAGAATGTGGTCGATCTCAGCATGAGCCGTTCCGTTGGGCGATTCCCAAGTCCACCGGCGATGTTCTTTCTTCATGAAGATGGAGTTTCCATGGAAGAGTCGTGCGGCCAAAGAGAAGCCCAACGAAACGGTTGCCGTTTTCGTTTCGAAGCCCATATTCGAACTTCCCAATCCTGTATTCCTCTTTTAGTGGCATCCCGATTTTCGCATTGAAGTCGCCCACAACATACTTGTAGAAGGACTTTTCGTTGCGGACGACTTACTCCACGTCTTCGTAGAAAGCATCTAGTTCTGAGTCGTCGGCTGCTGATGTTGGCGAGTAGCAGTTGATGATGCTGATGGTCTTCTGACGTGAAGGGCGTAGTCGTAGGATGCCTAATCGGGGTGATAGGATCTCGTGGAATCGACAAGATGGACGACAGATGGGTGGACGACAAAGCCAACGCCTCCCACGTTTCGTGATGGAACCTTCTCACCATGAATGATGAGGGTCCCATCACTCATCTGTCCATCACGTCCTTCTCCCTGGACTTCGTTTCCTGCAGAGCGATGATGTGGTAGTTGATGTGCTCTGCAGCGTCGAGAAAAGCGTGGAGGTCGGCGTTTGTGGAGACTGTCCTGGCGTTGTTGGTGCAGAGCATGAGGCAGCCTCCATGGCGTGTCGTCCGGGCAGTGTCGTTTTTGTCCAATCCGAAAGGCGCCCTGAGTACCCTGACACTTTCTTGCTACCACCCGGCGCCGTAGGCGGGACACGATGTTCAGGATTTCTTTCTAATCTTCTAACTGGAGGAGTTATATGAGTTTTCCCCTACAAGAGGTGGCTTACTAGGCCTACTCTTAATTTCCACGGTTCCGGCGATCGCTGATCCCGGGCTTGGAGCGGGGAGGGATCGCAGCAGTGGTATCAACGCAGAGTACTCGGGGGATATGGTGTGGCCGGTTCTTAGCTAGGCATCCGGCCGAAACCGGAAACGTCGAACTTCTTCACAGCTTGGGAGGCCTTACAAGAGTATACACTCGGCTGTGCATCGCAGTTCGACCCCCAGTGTCGGAGAATTGTTAAGACTTCAAAATCAGTTGGTAAGCCCACACTGACAATGACTAAAAATGTAGAAATGGAAAATTCTGCGCTCGAGTAAAAAAACTGACTTCTTTTGTTGCAGTTTTTTGACTGTTGTTATGAAATCACAAAGAATTGTCACAAAATTTTGAGTTTTTGAGTTTTTAGTGCGAATCACCTCAGTTTCTTCTTACTAACTTACTTTTACTCATTTCTGCAGTTCTATTTTAACGTATGGAAAAAGGAAAGCTATTTCGCTTAGGTATGTTTTGCTCATTTTGTCTTTATAGCAATAGTACACTGAGAGAATGGCAGTGTAGTCAAAAATATTTATACTCAAGTTGAAAATAGACAGTATTGAATGACATTGTTTGGAAGCCAGTGTGCACAAACGGAAACTATCAATATAGATCACAATTTCTCAAAATTGTTTCGTATATGTAATCTTGTGATCAGGAATGTACTTGAAAACTTTTTTTGCAATCTTCTTGAGTTTTTTCTTGAGTTTCTTTCCAAATCCGCCTTCAGCAACGTTCACAGCAGAGAAAATCTGTAAGCATCAAAGTAATGCACAGGTATGTTTAAGGAGATCGCAAGCTAATCATATCTTCTTGGTCAACGTACCACTAATGTGGTAAGTAACAAGTAGAAAAGGTTGAAAATTCTCATTTTTGTCGAACTGACGTAAACTGTCTGAAAAAATTTTCTGAGAGAGTAAGAGGTACATAGAGCGGTTGATGAAACGACAAACAAACGAAACTTCTTTGACACAACTTGACACAAAAACAAATGATCTTCTAGTGCAAGGGGAATTGTTAGATTACAATAACGTTGGTTTCTCTGCTATGTAAATTTAGGCACTTGTATTAGGTCGTTCCGAAAGTAATGTCGCTTTTTTCAAATGAACGCCACATTACACAGAATCAAGATTTTCAAGAGATCTTAAGAGCATTCAATGCAGCATTCCATCCACTTTTCAAAGGTGGTAATATCGTTGCATAATATTCAATGAGCTCTGGAAAAATTACCAAAATCTGCGATCCATGCTTTTTGCTATGGTCAAGTTCGACTATTTTTCTAAATTTTTGTACCTAATCTCCGAAGAAGTACAAGTGAGTAATAGATAGCGCAAACCCTATAGGACACAGAATGATTTTTTCTTTTCCTTAGCTTGCTTCTTAGAGTTTCTGGAATCAATTATTCAATGCTATGAAATCCTATATTTGGTCAACTCAAACCTCACACAACAACACTCGACAAGCAACTCGGGTGTCATTCGGAGCAGCTTTTTTTTCCTTTTTCTACCAGTTGCTTTTTGTCTCTGATTCATCAAGTTTTCCGGGATAAAATCATCATAATTCGGGTTTTCCAGGGCGCCCCAGGCTGTACCCGGAATTTTCGTAAGTTGCTAATCTGAAGCGATGAGCGCTCATTTGGTTTGCAAAATTAGTGTCAAACAATAATTCATCTTTGTAATGCCAAAATCCGAAGATTTAGTGGTGTTTGATGCATTTGTTGTCTGAGAAGAGCCTGCTAAAATTCGGTAGTTCCATAAAGAATCTATACAGAAATCATGACGAGCTCTGGAAAGTAGAAAAAAGTTTTGCTATTTTCTGTAGGGTTTGCTCTTTCCATCCCCTACTTGGGCTCCTTCCGAGGGTTGTAATAAAAAATCTAGAAAAATTGTGAAAATTGGCCTCCTTAACACATGGGTCGCAGATTTCGATTATTTTTCGAGAGGTTATTAGATTTTTGGCAGTGATTATATGACCATTAGAAAGAGAATCAAATGCTGCATCAAATGCTACCAGAATCTCTTACATATCTTTGTTCCACGAGATGTGGCGTACGTTTGAAAAAAGCGACATTACTTTCGGAACGACCTAATATTAGAAAATGTCGCAGATTATGTCAAAAATAAAATCTCATAAAGTTGTGCACAATATACACAACTCTGCCATTTTTCGCCTGTTCAGCTGTAAATTCTTCGGCTTTTTTTCTCTAAAGAAAATATCGGTAACTGCCTTTTTAAAGAAGAAGCAAACAAAGCTTGCGTTTGATCAAGTGCTACCCAAAAGTTCACGGTTGCTAATATTACTATACGCAAAGCATTGTTCTTTGTACTCCTAAGCTGCGACGTATATGCTGTTGCGCTGGCAGAACACGGAAGTAGCTTGCTGAAGGCTCGGCTACGCCCGAAAATTTTGCTGAGCGCTTGCAGAAAAGCGCGAGTTTGCGGATCGCATGCCCAGGCGATTATCTGAGAAGGTGTTCAGATCTTTGCAAGTGCTTCGCTCAACGCAATTGGGGAGGGTGTGCTATGGAGTGCGAAAGTGAATAAAAAACCTTTCAAATGATTCAATATTCATGGAAGCGCTTTGACATCTTTCAACTAAATGACTCCTTCTGTATTGCAGTAGTCGAATATTTTCGAGATGCGGATACTTTGGTAAAATCTATACCAATGAATCTGTTCCACTCTTCAATTCGCAAAAAATACTGTGAGTTCCAGAGGCTATTTGAAGTGCGATTACATGCCAAGCGTAGTATAATATGTTATTTTCAAGTACTTCGTATAAAAACGCTTCCGTGAAAATATTGAGTTGGCCCAATTTGTTAGCGCCATTTTCACAAATTTATAACTTCTTACATTCCGAACCATTCGCTTTCCCCAAAGTTTCAACCCCTCTGAAAGAGATGATCATGTGCTTTACGAAAGCGTTTGATGTACTTTTTAACTAGGTTCTTTCAAACAAGCAGTGATAGAAGTTCGTGAACAGAATCTGTAGCGTTGTCAAAAACGTGAACAAGGGTTCGGGCGAAAATGGCTAATAGTCATCTGTGAAGCAATTACGCCTTTGCCTCTTTGATTTCACTATTTTCCTTTGATCGCACCAACTGCGCAGGCTATTTGATTAAAGCGCATTTTTCTCAAAGGCCGGGACTCGCTTGTGCATTTAGCAAAGAGGAGAAGAGAAGTTGAAGGAGAAGTCGCTTTCATGATGACTCAAATGCACAATTCTTGCGTCACATACAAATCTTTTGTACTCCAATCTGCAGGCTCTCAAAGTATTTACCTGGGCTCTGCATGAAGCGAAGCTGCCTTGCTCATTAAAGGATCGTAAATTCAATACGTGAGTCCTCTGTGCTGGCCAAGAGGCAGAGCAATAGGACTGGGGAAAGAAAAAAGTTTATCGTTAACTCTCGAATTCAGAATATAAATGCACGTCTTTGAATAAAGGCTGTACTAACAGGGAGAGGATACTTAGTCGAAAGCACCAATCCAGATGAGACATACAGCACTGGCAGTGCCGCTTTTCAAAACTGCGTTTTAAACGCAATAAAACGCCGGAAGTGCCGCATTGCTATATCTTTTTTCAGGTTACTCCTATAGAGCTCTGGTTAAAATATTTGAAACCAGCGCTGTCTGGTGCATCCGACGGTATGTTCGAAAATTGGAAAAATCACAATTTTTTTGTGCCCTCCGGCGCAATAAACGCGATATTGCGTCGTAAGTGCCGCATTCGAATAGCTTCCCACAAAGCTACTCTTTTTGATTCACTTTATTATATTTGGGCTCGGCACTGTTTGCTCTATCCGACAATATATTCAAAATCTGGAAAAGTCAATTTTTTCATGTGCCGCAGGGCGCAATAAACGCGTTTTTGCGTCGGAAGTGCCGCATTGTTATAACTGCCTTCAAAATTATCGCACAAAGCTCATGTTTACACAGTTGTCATCAGTGTCCCTTGAGCTATCCGCCAATATGTTTAAACATTCAAAAATCTCAATTTTTAGTGAATTACACGCTCTAATTCTTTTTGATCCCTTTTTGGGCACTGATAAGCTGATAACAATCTTCAAAGTAATCGTACACAATTCTAAATAACATATTTGAAACCAGCTCTTTGCCAGCTATCCAATGATATGTTTAAAAACCTAAAAATCTCAAATTTTTTATTTCCGATTTTATTGGTCCCTCATATCGGTATTATTAGCTAGGCTGGCCCCGGCCCCTGCCGCAGTGACCTATCATTATCGATTTTTGTCATCAGAATGCATTCAGTATTGTGATATATGGAAGTAACAATTTATTCGATGACTTCAATAAGCCAGAGGTGCAGACATAATGAAAACTGAATTTGAAATCTGAAATTTCAGTTTTTGAAAAAAATTCATTTCTATCCAAACTCCACAATTTTAGCATATTCTGAATCCCTGAGAAAAGTCCTACATGCAAAGTAAGTCTACCCTATCATTATCGGAATTGTATCATCTTCATTTTTTTCTTTATTTTGGTGGCCAATATGATTTGGTGCACATACACTCAGATCCATCCCAGGTACTCGCATCTACAGGCAGATCCTCGCTGCTGAATTCAGAAACGAAGCAGAGTCCAAAGTGATCTTTTCAAGCCACCTTCGTTTTCGAATTACTTTTAAAAAAATTTCAATCAGCTAAAACATTGAAAACTTTGAAAGCACCTTTCCAAATTTTGTTTTCCTGTATTTTCCATTTTCGCATTGGATTTAATCATCATTATTAATTGAAGTCGTGTTCGATGTACTTAACTCAGTGTTATTTCATTATTGTAACTTAAATTTGTTATAGTATGAGCCTTTTCAGATTCCTCAATTGGAGTTATTGAGTGCTCGACAACTTTAGCCGGATGACCTCATATCCGATTGGCACACATAATCGATTTCGGCGTGATAAATTACTGAATACTGTTGTAAATTATTCTAGTTAGCCAGTATCTTGTAATAATGGTATCAGTTCGTAACAATCTTTTCAGTTCAATATTCCAAATAAATGAATGCTCCACCATTTCATTCAGAGATTTTGAACTAGTACAAATTACAACATAAACACGTGATTTCTCGGTAAGTGTCATCGATGGCTGAGAATGATACTTCAAATTCGAATTTCGTGATTCACTCAGGAGCTAATTCTGATTTTACATGTCGCAGTGTGTATATTGAAAAAATCGCCAATGGTTGCAGAATGAGTTCTCAAACTTGAATTCCTGTGGTTCATTTCGCTAAATTTATGATTTATGGAATGAGCCATGAAATTTCGGATTTGGAATTGTATTCTCCAGCCACCGATGGTAAGTTTAGCGATTTCTGAAACTTTCTGTTTTAAATTACACAACCGTGCCTTCGATCGGGATGCATATGACAAAACATAGAAGTTTAAAATTCAAAAATCCAATTTCCCGCCATCGATGGAATTCAGGGAATTTTAAAGTTTCAGATTACACGCTGGTGACATGGAAAATCAGAATTTATGATTTTTCGATGAATTCTAGGAATTCATGTTTGAAAACTCTTTCTGCATATATTGGCGAATCACCAGTTTTTGCAACTATCTGTTTTAAAATTATCCGTTTTCTAATGATATCTAGAAAATTTTAATAGTGTTGAGTATTCTGAAGTTGAAGAGATTGTTGAATTTTGTATATGATTTAACTATAGGGTAGTTGCGTAATCCAAGAATTAGTCATTATCATCGATTAGATTTTCCAATCTGAAGTCAGAGGATTATCGAGAACGTCGAACCTAAATGTCCATGTACCTAGATCTGTGAGCACATTCGCACTTTTAGTAACCTCTGCTAAAACTCAGCCCTGTGAATGCGGTTTTGTGGCCATCAATTTGAAAGGCAGGGCTCTTGAGCAATAACTGAGGAAGAG